TTTTTATACCCTGAACCCATTAAAAATGGGTATAAGGGTATATTGCATTTGTGCAAAATCCCAATGTATGTAACAGGCAGAAGGAAGCATCTCCGACCCCATAAAGTATATATATTCTTGATCAGCATCAATAGCCGAGTCGATCTAGCCATGTCCGTCTGTCTGTCCGTCCGTCCGTATGTATGAACGCAAGGATCTCAGAACATTATAAGAGCTATAGACTTGAAATTTTAGATGTAGATGCTCCTAGTTCCCGCGCAGATCGAGTTTGTTTCCGATAATCGATAACTTACTCCGTTTCCAAGCAATCGATAAAAATCGATATCGATATCCTGTTTTTTGGGCAACTTTGGTAAATAATAAGAGCTAGAGTCACCTAACTTGACACATAAGTAGCTTCTAAAATAGAATATATATATGCATTTGATGTTGGAAGAAGAAAATGGAGCTCCCGACTAGAACCTCTTACTTGTTTAATATTATGGTCATGCAAATGGCTTGGGTATGCAAAGTAAGTATATTGATTTAGATAAAACTACCTATTTATATGGCTTGAATAAATCCATTGGAGAGAGCTCGATTGGGACAGTACTTCGTTAAGCATAATTTAATGAATCTCACTTGTGATACTCCAAAAAAGGTGGACTTTGCAAGCAAAACGTTTTTTGGCCAACAACTTTTTTTTTTAATGAATGCCATATGATAGTAGGGATTCGCACGAATTCAAAAAGGTATAACATTTCAAAAACAGGATATATTTACCCGAGAGCTAAAAAAAAAATCGTCAAAAAAATTTTTTTTTTTAACTTATATATGATTATTGTATTGAATCAAAAAATAGCATACATTTTTATTACAAAACCGTTAACTTAGGTGGTATCTCGCCAATCCTGGTTGGCTTCTCAGGCTTTATCGTGGACAAACGTCAAAGCCGTCTTCTTTGAGTAAGGCTGCACCGTCACGTAGGTCGTTGGTGGGCTCTGGGGCTGCTCCTGTGTCGTGGTTGGAGGAGGTCTCCAAAGGATATTTTCTTGAGCCTTCTGACTACACACCTCTCAGCGAGGTCTCTTGTATGGGTTGGCGAATGCTTGGACTCTGAGATTACTTGGCCGAGATAGTCTAAAAAAATCAATAAAAAAGGTTGATTATACCAACGAAACATTTTTTGGTCAACAACTTTTTCTAACCCATCAATTTTGAATTTTTGAATGCCATATGATAGAAGGGATCCGTATGAATAACTCCGCGCGGAGATTTGACGTTCCAAAACGACATAGCTCCGCGCGGAGATATGACGTTCCAAAACGACATAACTCCGCGCGGAGATATGACTTTACAAAACGACATAAATCCGCGCGGAGATATGACGTTCCAAAACGACATCAGAACCTATAAGAGCTAGAGACTTGAAATTTTAGATGTAGGTCCTCCTAGTGCCTGCGCAGATCGAGTTTGCTTCCGATAATCGATAACTTGCTCCGTTTCCAAGCAATCGATAAAAATCTATATCGATATCCTGTTTTTTGGGCAATTTTGGTAAATAATAAGAGCTAGAGTCACCAAACTTGACATATAGCTTCTAAAATAGAATATATATATGCATTTAATGTTGGAAGAAGAGGGTTCAGGGTATCCCCTAGTCGGGAGCTCTCGACTTGAGCCTCTTACTTGTTATTGGATTATAATGCAGCATATGCCTGACGAATGAATACTCTCACCCATTTGTTGAGATTCCTTAGTACGTATGCTCATTTGAATGATTTATAGGTATGTACTATGTTTATTTACTAAAACTTGTATTTTTTCTTACATTAATCTAGGTGTGCCTTGCGGCTTTTCATGCGTGTGTGTGTAATATAGTTGCTAGTAATGTTTTCTGCTTTTAAAAACTATCTACCATCAAAATTCTGAGCATTGAGGCGACACTTTGACACGTTAAAGCAAAAAGTTGCATTCAAGGCACAACAGTGATAACACAGAAGGTTGGCGGCATGGGGAGTGCAATTTGGTTTAATAAACCCACAGCACACAAATCCCTTTGCTACCCTGGCTGCCTGCAGTGCACAGCTGGAGCCAGACAGACAGTCGCCAGTCGGGAGTTGGGGGAGGCGTAGGAGGGACAACAGCTGGAGCAGTGCATGTGCCCTGGCTGTGGTCTAATTTGGGACTTGTTTGCCTAAGATCTAAGCACAATAAATCCAGCTTTGTGTTATAACTTTTGTTGGTATGCAAAAAAATTGTCAGCACAACACAAACTGAGACCACATGATAAAACCAGCAGCCGGAGCTTGCCCGATTTCAATGGCTGCAATAACAAGCAGGGATACAAGCTCGAAAATACATTTTCGGATGGTCAGCTCACGGTTCGAGCTCCCTATCTTAATGTTCGGTTCGTAAACCTGCTTTTCTACATTCGTAAATCTGCCCTTACGTTCAAGCCACAAGGCTTGCCATCTGCTTGTATGAGACAATGTAATCTTAATTTATAATTGCCTGTTCTTCTCAAAATATTTCAAGCTTAATTTATTTTCAAACACATAATGGCTCGATTCGCATTTTAGTTTAACTGTTTTCTACTTTCGGATAAAGCCCGGTTCGAGCCGGGAATAGCCATTTATTTTTACTATGAACCTAACCCTAAACCAAATCAGCCAGCCTTGATTACAAGTGCAACACTATGTTGTGCAGCCAAACAGCAGCCCCGCGTTGCAATTTAAAATGGGGAAAGCTGTAAGGGAACCCACAGGAATATGAGAGTGCTAGCATACTTGCGGTTTGTTTTGGGCTGCCCCAAAACAGCTCATGTGTGTATGTGACTGTAAGTGTGTGCTTGTGTGTGTGTTGATTGTGGTGTGTGTATTGTGCGGTGTAGCTACAGCAACACCAGCAGCATCATCAGCAGCATCATCAGCAGCAGTAGCAGCAGCAGCAGTCCGTGCAAACACTTGACTTTCATATATATTCGCTCTCTTATTTGCCTTGCCATTTGTTGGAGCAAATTTTCTTGATTGCCTTGGCATTGGCATTGGCATTTGCCTGTGTTCTGCTTATGCGTTGTCATCTTTCTCTTCTATGTTTTCTTCCCTTTTTATACCCTTGCAGAGGGTATTATAATTTTGTCGTACAATGTGTTACGCATAGAAGGAGACATCTCCGATCCCATAAAATATATATATTCTGGATCAGCATCAACAGCCGAGTCGCTATAGCCATGTCCGTCTGTCTGTTTCTATACGAACCTGTCCCTCAGTTTTAAAGCTATTTTTATAAAACATTGCAGAAGTATCTCTTTCTGTTGCACGCAGCACAAATGTCAAAACCAGCCGGATCGGACGACTATATCATATAGCTGCCATAGGAACGATCGGTCGAAAATGAAGTTGTTGTATGAAAAACATTGTGTTTTTCAAGATATCTTGACCAAACTCGGCAAATTTTAGTTTTACTATACTCATATATATGCAAAATCCTATTAAGATCGGACCACTATATCATATAGCTGCCATAGGAACGATTGGTCGATCGGATCCCTACTGGCATTCAAACAAGTTACAAATCGATCTGTTCACAAAAGTTGTTGACCAAAAACCGATTCGTTTGTAAAGTACACCTTTTTGATGATTTTTTGAGTACATCGCCCAAATAATGTCCGATTACATCACGTTTTGTCTACTTATTGAACGACAACTTTTTTTAATATATTAAATTTTATTTATTTCAGGTAAAAACAGTTACAACTTGACAAAAGGGAGGACAGAAAGAAAAAGCTGGAAAAGACCAGACAAAGCTTACTTGGATAATACCCGCTAAGTATAGATACATAAAATAAAATCTAAGTATTCAAAAGCTGTAAAACATACATTTGCTTAAAAACCTTTATAAATAATAATTGAGCAACGAAAATACGATGTTATGAAACAAAATAAAAAAAATAAATAAATTCTGATGTTTTTTTGTACGGAATTTTTTGGGTATTTAAGGTGAATAATTCGAAAGAATTCCACGCGGGGATATGACTTTGAAAACGATGTAACGCTTGACGTTGATCATGACGAAATTATGTCTTTTTGAAGCGAAAATCAGACTTTTCTTGTTTCTGTTTTCTAACGACATAATTCCACCGTTGTCCACATTCCACTGCTACCCTACGCTAAACACACTAAACATACACATAGATACACGCAACACATAACTGCTAACGTCCAGAGAAATTATTTAATTATTGCCCAATAAGGGGCAGATATTAAATAAAATAAATAAATAATTATGTTAAAAAAATATTAAGATCGGACCACTATATCATATAGCTGCCATAGGAACGATCGGTCGAAAACTAGGTTTTTGATTAAAAACCTTTTTTGTTTATCAAGATATCTTTCCCAAACTCGGCATTTACTATTTTCCCTGTGCTTCTTAGATACGGGCAAAGCACTATAAGCATTATGAAAAGGTTGGGTCTGCAAGGGTATTAGATCTTCGGCATGCCGAAGATAGCCTTTCTTTCTCATTTTTGGCTGGTTTTCCTTCGTTTCTCCTGCCCGTGACAGTGATTTTGACATTTCACGCGCATTTATTTCTTTGCATGTTATTTTTTATATTTTTACCAAAAAGGTCAACATTTATTTTCACGACGGGTTATGGGTCCCTTTGCATATACATTGCCAGAGGCATGTCCTAAATTGTCTGCCTAATATCTACGTCTAGGACACGCGCTGGCCAGTTGCTCCCCAGCGACACATTTTTGCTTAAGTAAATTGAATCGCAGCGTCAGATTCTCTGACCCCAAGAACCGAATTTCACTCAAAATAATTATGAATGAATCGCCAGCCCAGCTGTTGCTGTGACTGTTAAACGACTGTAAAGCGTCTGTTAACTCTGCGCACTCAGCTAACATCACTCGGCACAGCCTCTGACAGCTGAGTGTGTGCGTTTGCGTGTGTATGTGTGTGCCTGTCTGCCTTCTGTTTCTCAGTCGAACCGCGGACGTTGAGTCGAGAGAACACGCGACGCGCATGTTTCTGCGACGCCAAGCCAAAACACGAGGCAGACTAGGCGTATACGCGTTGTTTTCAACATTCCGTGCTAAGTAAATAAAATGGTTGGTTCTCGCATTTAGCCACAAACGATCTAATCAGCTTTATTATGACAGACAATTTATTTGTTGATTTGATTGAAAATCAAAACGAAAAATTACAAAAATTGAAAACAAATTATTGCTTGCTTAGGAGAGAACCCCAGACATAGAAGAGATTTTAGTGAATCAAAAAAAAAAAAAAAAAATAATAATAATAATAATAAGAAAAAACAACAAACATGTAAGAAAATGAAAATTGAAGGCTTTGAAGTATATTTGACTATAACAAAGTTTGTTTATAAATAAAATTCGAGCAATAAAGCAAAAAATTACTATTTATTTATGTTAACACTCAGACTCTAAACATGTATAAAAAAAAAGTAATATAAGTATCATAAACAAAAATAAAATAATTTCAAATTTCAATAAAAAAAAATTTCAAATTTAAACAGTTAATAAATAAATAAATATTAGACGTCAATCACAAAAAAAAACGTATCAAATATTAAATTTGACTTTATTTATATTTAATTAAATACAAGCATAAAGTGAAACAAACTTAAATGTGAATAAAATAAACAAATGTAAAATCAAGTACAATTTTTATGAATGCCATTAAGTAAAACGCCGCTTTCCAAAGTCACAATTTGAGGTGATTGCATTAGATCAGCGTATTTTTAAGGCCCCCATCGCACACCCGTTATCCACCTCAGCCACGTGAAATCCATATTGATGGGCGCTCGCGTTCCTCAGCTGCCTCCTTCCGCTGCTGTCAACGTCGCTTCCTGTCCTTTGGGGTGGCACTCGGTTCTTTGTTTGATTTGCATACTGCTACCTGTCTGAGCCTGAAGTTGCGGCACACTCACAAGTGAACACAAAGAAAAAAATAAACTGGCAACAAAACGTGATAAAATAAGCGGAAAAATAGCTGACAAGAACTCGCGCGCACCCCACACAACAAAATAAGAAAAAAAAAAAAGGAAAAGAAAACATAAACAAAAAAGAGAAATAAAAACATTTGCCATACAGAACAAAGGAAATTATCTGACCAGTGGCCTGGGGCGCAACTCTGCGCTGCCTCTGCTTCTGCAATTGCCTTTACCTTTGTCAGATCCTCTGCCTCTGCCTCTGCCACTGCCACTGTCACTGCCGCAGAGGCGCCTGGGACAAGTGACAGTTTTGTTTGTTTACGGCCAGGGGCTGGGCCAGGGGGTAGGCGCTATGGGCGTAGAGGGCTGGTAGCCTAATTTGACCAGTTCTTTTATTGCTTGCCCATGGTACATGGCGTTATTATTTTGCGGCTCTGTTTACACGCACTTTTAACGTGTGTTTATTCGGGCGTAACATAAACTAATTGAGGCATTCACTTGACTCACTCGCTCTACGCGGCGTATGCGCAATCTGAAAACAGCTTCAGGCAAGTCACGTTTACACACTCACACGCGCACACATGCACCCTTATATGCAATTGCAGCAAAAGAAATTTTTAAGAATCAGCAAATCAAAAATTTGTGATTGTGTAGACGACGACCAAATACGCTTCCATACTATAATAATTTAAAATAATGTTATCCAAGCAATTTCTAGTTTCCCAGATCTTTCATACAAATGAACGGGCAAACATGGCTCGATCAACTCGGAGTTGCTCCTTTTTGCCTGTTACACATATTTGTACGATAAAAATAGACTTTTTTTCAACTATTTTCAAAAATTTTTTTTGTAAAAGCGAATAGTCTTAAAGCAGTCTGCTTGGTTTATGAAGAACCAAATGATTTTTTCTATGACAACAAGCAGCAAAAAACATGTGTATCAAATTCCGAATAAAAAAAGAAATTTAATAAGAAAATACGTCAACATTTCAGTGCGGTCGATGGGTAAGGCAAAAGAGTTTTTCTATTATAATTTTTAACATTTTTCCACTAAAGAATTGATTTTGTTATACAATTTAACAAATGTCTTTCAAAGTATGCTTGGAAAATGGAATTGTTGTCTTTAGTTAAAGTGAGCACCTTTCATAAAACAAATATTCTCCCATACTCCCTTCTCTCATTTTATTTTTTTAATATTATGTCACCATTCCCAAATATCTATCAAATCAATTTTGAAACTTGGCTTTTGAGGCCAATCTTAGTAACTGTAAAATTCAGATACAACAAATTTAGAATGTTAGCTCTCGTGAACAAAAAATTATAATTTTTCAATTCCCCCTATTCCCTTTACATATTTTTAAGCTACCTTCTGAACTGTATACACACACATTTTAATGTCGTAGTTATGACCTTAATTTCATGAAGATCGGACAACAAATATAGAAGTAATTCAAAATTTAATATCCAATAGTAGAAGCAACAGCCTTGCCATTGCTTAACTTGTGCAGTTCGTCGGACATGAGTTAGTGTGTTGTGCACAAATGGAATGCACATTGGACTATATTTTATGATTTGAAGCGTGGTGCTATAAACATTATTATTATATGACTGAGGTGCACAAGGGATTTTGTAGTCGACTACAGCGATCTTACTCGTTTTATTTTTGATAATTTGTGCTATTTGAATAGCTGTAACTATCCGATGTCCGATTCGGCCGAAACTTTCTTAGAGATATATTTATTTCCTGATACAGTTGGTTACCTTATCCACTTAGATTGCTTCAAATCCGCGTGTTACATGTTTTGCAATAGCAAATTAATCTGCAAGGATATAAAAATAACCGTATACCAACCCCTTGTCATTTGGCAGTTGTAGTCATCGTCGTCATCGTCAAAGTTCTGAATGGTAACCATCAAGTCTGTTTTTGAGGTAGTCATCATCCTAGCCGCCAGTTGAGTGAATGGCCTCTGGCCTGATGGAGAGGGTCGGCTTGTTTACTTTCTGTGTGTTTTAATGAAATGCAAATGCAAACAAACCCGTCACAAAGTTGCGGCCTTGCGCTCACATGTATTCGCACAGGATACCAACATTATTTTTGCAGTTGTTGTGGCACTTAGCAAAAGTAAAATCTTTGTTTATTTTTGTGTTTGTCTATGATTTGTCAGGGTTCTCACACAGCGGCCATAATTGCAAAATGAAATTTTATAATTTGCCAATTACACGCATAAGTCGGCCTTGAGAATTGGGACTGCAGCCTGCCCATTAAATTTGTATTTATCATCATTTGATTTCGCTTATTTGGGGCTACGAGTGCTGATGAATGCCTTGCATGTGACTGGAAATGTACTAAACGCGTTTTCTTTATCCTGGCCCATAAATAAATTGGCTAAATTTTACTTTATGACAGGTGCCCTGCGAGGCATTTGCAGCTGCTGCGTCCTCAAGTCGCCCCAAGGAGTTGACTTGACGGCGAGGCCATAAAGCAGATTTGTGCATAATTTCAAAAACGTTTTGCGATTTGCCAGCAGCCCGCTTAAGCTTAAAGTTATTGCAATGCATTAAAGTCTAAATACGAGAGCTGAGTTTCTTTTCAGGGTTTTCACTTGCATAAATAAAGCAAAATATGTCGTTGAGTGGCAACTGGAACCTACTCGTATTAGGGCTAAGCTGAAGCTTGTCAAGTTAATGGCACGTTTCATACTTAAGTGGAAAATGTGCTTACATTCTCTACATACACGGCAAATTCCATAAAAGGTAGCTTATCAGAGTTCAGAAAAATGAAACTCTTTTTGCATTGATACAGCTTGATGTTTTCCATTTTGTAAGTGTGCAAGTTTTTACCTAATGAGAGTAAAAATCGTTTTTTTAGTCAGGTCTCCTAAACATAAAAGGGCTTTAATTTGATTCACAGCTCAAACCATTTTCCTAGCTATAGACAAGTTCTGCGAAACTGCGTTTCCACATCCTTGACTGAAGTTTTGATGAAGCCTTGACTTGTATATTGAATTATTCAATAGAAAACAATTGCTTGGTAAATTGAAAATCTTAAATATCAATGCAATATAAGCAATTAATTGATACCATTTGATCTCTACTTTATATTGGCAATTGAAAATAATAATTCAATTAAAGTTTGTTCGGGTTACGGCTCTGCTGTTCTTCGGACATCCGCTTTGTCGTTTCACAGTAAAAATTAAATTGGCACTCCATTTTCCAACACGTTTGCTTGAAAATTGATTTGCAGCAATGATTATGAACTTGTGACCAAAGAACAATAAAAGTTCGCGAATTATTCAAGTATGGGGAAATGAAATCTTTAACAGATTTGTTTGTCCACATTCACTTTGTGAGCAAGATATGTAAAGACTCACTAAGCTTCGCTAGTTTCAATTAAAAGTAAGAAAATAAACTTTTACTTAACAAAAACGCCCAACTCTACAACTAATTAAAGTCAATTTGTCACTTTTCTCTTTTGCTCTCTTCTGTTCACAACGGCTATTTTGACTAAGTATAAATGTCGGTCGGCATTACCCTATTTATTCTTGCCTCAAATTGTTACCACACATTCAGGAATTTATGAGTTTGTAACAAGCCAAGGACACCGAACCCTTTGGCAACATGCCGTTCAACTTGACATACTCTAATTCTGAGTAAACCCAAACTGAATAAGTTGCAAATTTGTTTGTGAATGTCCAAAATAAATAAGTTTCTCTTCGGCTACTCTATACTTTGGCTTTGGTTGGGAGAGCGCAATTCTTGAGTTTAATTAAACACAAGTTTATGTCATAAACTCTTAAGCTACTAAAGCTGCTTTTAATGACAGTTCGGCAACTGGTTGTATAATGTCTTCAACTTCAAACTGTTCAGATATAATAAAACTGAAACTTTAGCAAAACCAAAGCCAAAAGCTTCTTAAAGTAAACGTGTACTTGTATTTTGTTCATTGATTTATGTTGATTTCTTTGATTATATTTTGTGGCTTTCCTTCATTTCGGTTGGTTTATTGTGTCGCCTGCCGCTTTTCATTAATTTATTGCAGCCAAGGGCAACTGATTTCACTTTAATTCAATTTATTTGCCGATACATCGAACACCACCAACAACAACAACAATCGTCATCAAAATAAACACAATACGCTTGTGAGCTAATCGACAG